GTTGTACTCCAGGAAAATTGTTTACATTTATACCTTATTTCATTTATTCAGCCTATGCATTTTGAGAGATTATTCTGTATTAGGCACTATGCTAAATACTGGGGTGCAGCAGTGACCAAAACAGACTAAATGCCTCAAAGAGCTAAAGACCAGTGAGGGAAACCAACGAAAAACAGGAAACACACAAAATAGACCATAATTATACACTGTGATTAAGGGCGACAAATGGGGTTAGTATTTTGTTAGAGACTACAGAGGGAGGACGGACCACTGAAAGGGTGGCCAGGAACGCTTCTCTGACGGGTGATATTTCAGCCCAAACTGGAAGGATGAGAAAGGGCGGGCCAGCCATGGGAAGAGAGGGAGGGAGAGAGGGAACACTTACACACACAACATTTTGGGCTGAAAAATAGCATAGAATTGGAGGAGTTTGGGGGACCACTACTTGTGCTAATCTGGGCAGGGGGCACTGAGGTCTTGAGGACGGGCAGTGGCAGTGGGAATGGAAAGGATGAAGGTAGTATCAGAGGAAGTGTGGAAATGGAATCACTAGGTCTTAACAACAGATATGGGTAAGCAAAGCTTAGGGGAAGCATATTAAACTCAGTAATGCTGAGGTTGGAGTCAGGCTGAACAGGAAAATGGTGGGGCGATGCAAAGTAAGGAAGTCAGGAAGCAGGGCCAGATGTGGGGAGAAGGTGTTGGATCTGGTTTTGGTCATGCTGAGTTTGTGGCTTTGGTAGGCAGTCTAGGAACAGCTAGAATGTGGATCTGAAGACTGAGGAAGAGGAGGGGATCTTAAAGAAGTCCCCGATGCCATACCCTCTGCCTCCCTTCTCTTCCCCCTTCTTCACTTCCTGACCCTGGGAGCTGGGAAGGTGGAAGATTAGCTGTAGTTCTGCTCCTCTGGGCCTGCTTGAGTTTTCATTGCTCCCTGGGAAGACAGTTTGCTGTTCCTAGCTTCTTACCCTCCTACATTTCCCAGCAGCCACTGGGACACATGTGCTGCCCTGACATCTCTTCCCAGCTCCCATCTCCTCCTGACATCTTTGGTGTGGTGTGGGTGGGAGGGGGGCATGGCAGGGGTGGGGAAGAGGTAACTGCTGTCAGAGGGGCACTGACTTACTGATGGTGTCACCCAAGGTGAATGTTGGAGACACAGTCGCGATGCTGCCCAAGTCCCGGAGAGCCCTAACTATCCAGGAGATCGCTGCGCTGGCCAGATCCTCCCTGCATGGTATGCATCTCCCTCCCATGTTTCTGGCCACTTTGTCTTTCCTCCTCCCTTTGCACATGTCCTTTGGGACTGTTTCCTGTGAGCACTTGCTGGGATCTCCCTTTTCCACCCTCTCTCGGATGAATCCCAGTCCCTCCTCCCACCCACCCAAAGGCATACATAGATCCTAACTGCTGCCACCCTTCCACTTCCCTGCTAAGGTACTCCCTGGCTTGTGCCCTTACCATTCTTCTCCCCTCTCCCCAACCTCCAGGTATTTCTCAGGTGGTGAAGGACCACGTGACCAAGCCTACTGCCATGGCCCAGGGCCGAGTGGCTCACCTCATTGAGTGGAAGGGCTGGAGCAAGCCAAATGACTCACCTGCTGCCCTGGAATCAGCTTTTTCCTCCTATTCAGACCTCAGTGAGGGTGAACAAGAGGCTCGCTTTGCAGCAGGTGGGTGGCAGAAAAGGGATAAGCCACATACTTGTTATAGGGCAGTTATCTCTCATCTCCTCGGGTCTGACATGGGGGTTAGAGTCATTCCACACCCCTGTCTCTTCCCTCTCCTATCTCGAAGCTGAGCCCTAGTCTTAGTTTACCTTCTCTGCTAATGAATTCTGTTTCCTCTCCAACAGGAGTGGCTGAGCAGTTTGCCATTGCAGAAGCCAAGCTCCGGGCATGGTCTTCAGTCGATGGTGAGGATTCCACCGACGATTCCTATGACGAGGACTTTGCTGGGGGAGCTGACACAGGTGAAGGACCTCCTGTGCTAGTGTTGCCAGCTGGGTGGACCCACCTGATAGGCCTTGTGATTCATTCGGAGCCACACCCATAACACCCTCAGTCTTTGCAAGGAGAGGTGGGAGGGGCAGACTCTGTCCAGGTGGTCCTTGACACTCCAGGGGCAGGAGGGCTGTCTACACTCATGGGTGGGAAATCATCAGTTGGAGTAGTTCCTTCCCATGTGCTGAGCCTTCTTTGCCTGTCTGTGTAGTTGGGCCTTGTCCTCAGAAAAAAAAAAGCCCAGAGACCTCAGTGACACCTTCTGTGCAGCCATATCTCTGGGAGGGTCTATAGTGCCCTTGCCTTTTCCTTTCCGAGGCAGCCTTCTGGCTGGCTGTGGCAGGACAGATGACCTGCAGTGCAGCAGCACAGCACCTCACAGGGCTGCGGCCCCAGGCAAACAGGAAGACATGCTGGGCCTGGAATACCCACAGGGCCATGCTGGCTCCAGCTCAGCATCTTTGCATTCCAGCCTGTGGGCCTTTCTCTGGGTCAGTGCTTGCAGAGGGGATCCTGTGGGGCGTGCAGCTGTGCTGGGCCCTCCTTTCATCTTCCATTCTGTGGACCACATGGCTGATTTTCTCTGTAGTTTCTGGGCTCAAGCCTCACAGGCCACCATCCCTTCACCCCCACCTTTTTGCCTTTGAAGATCACCTCTATCGGCCCCCACCCTTCCAGCTAATTAACAACTTACCCAAGGCAGACAATACATTATAGCAGGTCTGAGAGTGGCCAGAGGGGACTGATTTGGATGCCTGAGGCCAATATGGAATCCTAAATCACAAGCATTTTTGTTTGAGTTCCAGGCCTGCTTTGGCCCCTGGAATAATGATAATAACTAACATTTATCTAAGACCACTGTGAGCCCATGTGCAATCTTTGTGCAAACTAGAAAAAGGCACCCCTTTCTCTGGCGGGCACAGCCCCATGCCAGGGCATGCTGCTTGGTGAGCAGAGTGAGGGCTGAATTTCACTGCCTTAGACAGGCTTCCCTTGTGCAGTGAACAACCTGCATAACCATATGGGGTGGCCCTGCATTTATTACTTGCTTACTGTGTGCTGCTAGACTCTTGTTCTCTCAACAACCCCATAAGGTAGGTATTAGAATCCCCAGTTTACCATTAAGGAAACTGAGGCATTGAAAAGTTGTGACTTGCCCCAGGTTGCCCAGCTTCTATTCACTACCCCCAGAGCTACACCAGGGATGGAACAGGGTGGGGGGATATTACTTCCAGGTTGGCCAACTCAAATGGGGCCAGCAGGGCTGTCTTCTTTTCTCTCCCCCTTGCAGACATGGCTGGGCAGTTGCCCGTGGGACCTCACCTCCAGGACCTCTTCACTGGCCGCAGATTCTCCAGGCCTATGCGCCAGGGCTCTGTGGAGCCTGAGAGCGACTGCTCGCAGACCGTGTCCCCAGACACCCTGTGCTCTAGTCTGTGCAGCCTGGAGGATGGGTTGTTGGGCTCCCCAGCCCGGCTGGCCTCCCAGCTGCTGGGCGATGAGCTGCTCCTTGCCAAACTGCCCCCCAGCCGGGAAAGTGCCTTCCGCAGCCTGGGCCCCTTGGAAGCCCAGGACTCACTCTACAATTCGACCCTCACGGAGTCCTGCCTTTCCCCTGCTGAGGAGGAGCCAGCCCCCTGCAAGAACTGCCAGCTGCTCTGCCCACCACCAATGGGCAGCTGGGAACGGCAGCGGCAAGCCTCTGATGTGGCTTCTTCTGGGGTGGTGTCCTTAGACGAGGATGAGGTGGAGCCAGAGGAACAGTGACCCAAATCATGCCTGGTGGTGGCATGTGTCCCCTGGCTGCTGCTAGGGGCAGAGCCTCTGTGCCCAACTGCAGCCTAGAGGGCTCCTGGGAGCACTCAATTCTCCGTTGTGTGTTTTGCATGAAAGTGTTTGGAGAAGAGGCAGGGGCTGGGCTGGGGGCGCATGTCCTGCCCCCACCTTGGGGTTTGCCGGGGGTTGCCCGGGGCCCCTGGGGCATGGCTACAGCTGTGGCAGACAGTGATGTTCATGTTCTTAAATCAAAAACACCACACACATTTTCTCCTCAGATGATGTGAACCCCTAAGGGGGTTGTTGTGACTGGGCTGTGTGGAGGTGGAGTGGGAGGGAGCCCGGCCACTCCCTCTGGCCTCCCCATGCCTCGCTCTTCTGTTTCTCTCCTCACCTCTTGAGTCTATGTGCAGTGCTTGATACAATCACCCTTGCCTGGGTGGCCTGGCTCCTGCCCTCCTAGAGCCTATGGATTGAGCCGTCCCCCAAGGGCCCCTTGCCCAGCTGGGCACGTGCTGTGCTTCACTTCTCCATCGTCTCTAAATCTTTTTCTTTTTTTCCTAAAGACAGAGGGTTTTTGGTCTGTTCTTTCAGTCGGATCTTCTCTGGGAGGCACTGGAATGATGGAAGCATGTGCCCTCCACTCTTTTCCTGGCCCCCCTAATGGGGCCTGGGCCCCATCCCAGCCCCTCCTAGGATGTGTGGGCAGTGTCCCGCTGGTTCACAGCCAGCCAGGCTGCCCCATTCATGCAGAGTTCTCTTTAGTGTGGGGTTGGAAGAAGAGATGGCTCTGGTTGCTACAAAGCTATGACTTTGATGTTCTTCCAGAGAGGGCCACAAGGGGGCCACGGGGTGGCCAGGCAGTTGTCAGCTGATGCCTGCCCAGGGCAGGAATTGTGCCAATGAGTGACAGTCATGAGGGAGTGTCTCTCCTTGGGGAGGCAAGGAGGTAGTGCCTTTCTTGGCTGAATGAAAGGCCACAGCTACAGTACTGCCCACCTCCCCACTCTACTCTCATCAAGGGTGTTAATAACCAAGCAGCGGAGGCCTCTGACAGATCCAGCATTTCCAAGGACACTGAACAGATTTCATGGCTGCAGGCAGGGTGGGTGGCTGCAAAATAAGGAGCCTTATAGGCTTTGGCAGGTAAGAGTGCCCAGGGTAAGAACAAGAGCTAACGGGCACAAGCATTCTATATATGAGTGGCTCATTAGGTGTTTATTTTGTTCTATTTAAGAATTTGTTTTATTAAATTAATATAAAAATCTTTGCAAATCTATATATACATCTGGTCATTGGAGGTTCCAGTATAAACCCATCTTAGTTTTACCCCTTTCCCCCTCAAAGGGGGAACAGTGTTCAAGTGACAGCCGCCTCCATCCTGCCAGGGTAGTGCCGATCTTCCTGTCCTTGTAAAACTTGCTGCAGGTGGGTCAGATTCCAGGTAGAATGAATTGTGAGAAGCTGGTACCCCAGGTCTGGAAGTGGGGCTGGGGCTCCAGCCTCTAGCTGCAGGTGCCTCCTGCTTTCCCAAAGCAGAAGGAACATGAGAGCTGTAGGATCTGGGTCTGCAGCCATGGCCAGCACCATGCTAGGCGGCCCATTGAGGGGTTCACTGGCACTTGTCATCGCTATCAGAAGGGCTGCCCTCCCCGGGGAGGGTGTGGTGGGAGCGAGGCCCCCAGAGTGCATGCACCTCAGTGGTCTCAGTGTCGCTGCTGCTGGTGGCACTGTCTCGGAAGCTGGCGAGGGGTGGCCGGACTTTCACACCCTGTGCTGTGACAGAGCCCTCGATAGCCTTCCGGAGCTGGAAAGGTAAGAGTGTCAGATGTCTGGACTCAGAGCTCCCTGCTTAGACTCCTCGACTGCACTTCTCCCAGGTGAGCCTTTCTGGAAGTGGAAGTGGCTTTGATGGCCACTATCATCTTACCTCCTTTAGGGTAACAATTCCAATGAGTCTGCCAATACTGGTGACATAAGCGTGGTCCACTCCGAGCAGTGAGAAGATGGTGTGAGTCTGTAGGGTGGGGAGAGAACACACTGGAGTTGATGTGCAAGGGGGCAGCTCTAAATTACAGGCCCCAAGGGGCTCAGGACAAGGTTAGGGGGTAGTATAGAAGGGGTGCCACAGATGGTGGGGGGAAGGGGACAAGAATGTTGGAGAGAAAATAATTATGATGTTTCTATGCCCCCAGGCCTCAGAAACGTGATAGCTAAAATCCTATGTTGATTACATTGATGGAGACACAGGACTCAGAAAGGATTCTTAGTCCCATGTTAGAAAGGAAGATGCAGGAGAGAACTGTTCAGACGTGAAATCTAATGACTGGAGGCTCCACGCTAGGTCCTACATTATCATTTAATTTCAGTACTGTCCTGAGAAGTAGGTATTATGCCCATTCTACAGGAGAAGCTTCCTGAGGCTCAGTGGTGAAGTGACTTGTTCCAGGTGGGGCCTTAGAAGTGGCTGTGCAGTCCCAGGATACTTTTTGTCATACAGAGAGAGGCAGCACAGCCTTACTCCTCTTCTGCAGATGTCCCTGTTATTCATGGATATACCCAGCAGGGAGGTCCACAGCCCCCTTAGGGGCACTGCACCCTGAATCCTGTACCTCTCACCCACCACAGTGGCTGACACCTGCTTCCCATTTGCCCCTCTAGCTGGCTGGCCAGTTTTGACATCTCTTCACCCTGGCACTGATGTCCCAATCTTGACGTCCTTGAAGCAGTCTATCCCTCTCACACAGTTTGCCTTTTCTGGGGTCCAAGCATCATCCCAGATCCTATTGAGATGGAGCTTGCAGTCCAGGACAAGAGTCACCTCATCCCATCCCCTCATGTTTTTTGCTTTGGGCCCTCCCCTAAGCTTTCAAATGTAATCATCAAGGCTTCAGAAATTCTCAGCCAGTTCCCCTTGTGCTCTAAGTGGATTTTCTTGGGCCAGATGTCTTGAAAAAATGCTCTCCTGACTCAGCAGTTCCTGGAATTTTTGGCCTATCATTTATCTCACTGTTCTATGTTTACTTGTAAGCCTCTTGGCTTAATGTTTGAATCAAGATAAGCAGTAATAACCCAGTTTCTTCAGTACCGTTCAGAATTCATTTAAATTGTCTTGACACTTTTTAAATGTTTTGAAATTCCTTAGGAAGGGACTTCCAGAACTTTCCTAACTTTGTACATCAAAAGCATGACAGTGCTTATTAAGGGGGACAAGAGGTTCAGCTTTAGAATAAGCTCTTCTGCATTCCTTCAATACCTATAACATAATTGTCATGTGGTTAGCAAGTTCCTCCTCATATCTAACTTGAAACCTACATGCTACAAATAAGCTTTAATTTTGTTCAACTTTAGAGGGAAACGTCTTTATTATAAGGTTTCCTGTTTTAATAATCCCTTAGCCTTATCTTCTTATGGTCAAGTAATCCCTCTCATCTTCTCCCAAGGAGCCTATTAAATAGTTCCCTTGGATTTTCTTTTTCTCTACAATCCTGATCAGAGTGAGCTTCTGCCAGGCTCCTATGCCTTTTAGGTTTGCAAACCACTTGTTCCTGGCAGTCAGCAAGCCTTACCAATCTACTTCCTGCACATCCTGGCCACTCACCCTCACTCCCAGCCTCACTATCCTCACCAGGACTGGGGCCACAGCAGCCTAATGGGTTCTCCTGTTTCTGTCTCCTTTCTTCCAGCTTGGCTCTGCTGTCCTATGCACTTTCTCAAACTTGAATGGAGCCCAGACTTCCTAGAATGGCCCTAGCTGACCCCTGCCTGTCTATCAGGCCTCAAATTCTGCTGGGCACCCCAGTTTACAGCCTCACAGAATCACTCAACTTTTTCTGAAAACATCCATTTCTTCCACACTTCAGTTTTTTCCTCATTACTTTTAAAGTTCCCCATTGTTCATCTCTCAATATAAGGAGTAGTAGTAATAGTAATTCCTAACATATAATGAATACTTACTATGTGCCAGGCACTATTGTAAGTGCTTCATGTTTCAAATCCTTTAATCCTCAGAAAACCCAATAAGGTATGATCCCAATTTTACAGATAAGGGAAATGAAGCATAGAGAGGCTAAGAAATTTGCCAAATTTACACAGCTACCTAACATGGCAGAGTGAGAATTTGGGCTTAGTGGGTCTAGCCTGAGTTCTGGTACTCAGGCCTCCCCGCCTCCCCCATCCACTGCTTCTCTGTAGGTGGCCCCTGCATGAATGCAGTACTTAGCTGGTACAGTGATCTCCAGTTGCAAATAGTCTCCAACTATTCTCTCTCCCCTTTGAATATTCCCCTCCTGAACTTAACTGGGCTACTACTTATTGATTTCTCAGGCCTCAAGGACATGTTGAATTCTAATCTTTTATGTTCTTATCACTTGCAGTTCTTTGTACTTTTGTTAGTCGGTTCCTCAAAGGCTTCTTCTCTTACTCTGATCCTTAAGTTTGTAACAAACACTTACTTTGTTCTTTTTCATTTTAATTTAATTAGACATAAGGGAGCCCACTGGAGGGCCTGCACTTCTTGGGCTTGGGAAGAGTGAACTGACGGGAAGAGGGACAACGTGGCTTTCTGAAAGAATCCTGGGAGCTGGGCCAGAAAATCTGGGCTCTGGGCCTGACTCTACTATATTGACTCTGGCAAATAACCTCCTCGCTGCATGCCTCAGTTTCCCTATGTATTAAAATGGTTAAGATCACAGGATTTGAGTCAGACCATCTTGAATTCTAGGCCCAGTTCTGCTGCTTACTAGCTGGGTGACCTTGGGCAACTTGCTTACCCTCTCTGAATTTCAATTTCCTCATCTATAAAAATCGGAATATCACAATATCTTATAGTGTGGTTGTGAGTATTAAGCATGTGAAGAGCTAAGCATAGTGTCTGGTGCATATGACAAGCACTGAAAAAACGTCAGCATTATTGACATCATCATCATTATGGATGCTTGAGGATTAAGTAAGATGATCGATCATTGTGGAAAAGCTTTAGAGGTCTTAGAAAGAAAGGCTTTAAATAAAAGCCCAATGTATTGTTCTCAGGCCAATCTCCTCTTTCCTTGCAACTGAACTGTAGTTCCCCACTCTTTTTTTTTTTTTTTTTTTTTT